GCGTGCGCTGTCCCCGCGCTGACCGTGTGCCCGCCCCGCGGCGCGGCTCCGCCGCTGGTTCCCGCTGCCCCTCCCGGCGCTGAGCTGGATGCGGCGGCTGCACCAAGCCGGAGCCCCGAGGTGGCCGCGCCCTCCGTGCCCCGCGCCTCTTTGTGTGCAGCCGGGGCAGCGGCGCCGGCGACTCGGGCGCCTCCTCCAGCGCCTGCGGCGGGGCCGTGGGAGAGCCGAGAGCAGCGGCGGAGCCCGCCCGCGCCCTCTGTAGTTACAGGGAACGGAGACCCTAACGCTGGGGAGATCCGAGTGGGTGTCGCGCGTCGCGTGGCGCTTTCCGTCCCCGAGGAACTTGGATGGAGAGTTTTGTTGCTAGATTTCTATAGAACAGGATGAAAATAAAATCGGGGAGAAATGATACGTCAGTTGTCAGAGGAGGAACATGGCCCTTGCCTGGTTTCTACAGAAGAGACATAGCTTCCTGGGGTGCTGGAATCTCCAGGGACAGCAGACGGGTTTGCGACAAAGGAAAGTTTTCTGTTTTCAAAGAACAACATGTAATACTGAGAGGCCCTCTAAGAGAAATGTGGGCATAACGACTGCAGGGTGAGGTCCTGAGTTCAAGTTCACTCAGTGCAAAACCGTTTTCTGAGCTCCATATGTGAGGAGGGCATGGCTCCGTGTTCTGTGCATAGGGAAGTCTGGCCCGGTTTCGGTGTGTTCTGACACACTCAAGTTACAGGAACGCACTTTTTCTGGTTTTTTGTTTGTTTTGTTTTGTTTTTCTGTTGTTCAGCTCAAGAGCAAGAGCATGGAGTTGACAACAGAAGGCGGAGATGGAAGAGGAGAACGGCAGGGTTGCACGGTGCCTTAGTCGCTCCTTACATAGACGCAGTACTTCACACCCACAGTTTACAGGCGGAGTCTACTTTGTCTCATATTTCAGTCCCCTCTCCGCTCCCAAGGAAAAGAAAGCAACAGGGCAGAGCGATGGTGAGGGAAGGCGCTTGGATCATGGTGTCCAGGACGCTGAGCATGAGGAAGGAGCCGAGGAGGGAGATAAACCCCGGAGCCCGCAACTCCAACCGCCTCTCCTGAGCACGCCCAACTCCGAGCACCACGACCACCGTGACCCGCACAGTCCAGCCACCTTCCGAAGCCACCACCTTAGGTAGTTCATGGAGCTCTCGCAGGCCCTCAGGTATAAACCACAACATGCTGTGCTTACCATTTTATCAACTAAAGGCAAAGTAGCGTAGGTCAGGGTAAGGTGAGAAATTACACGCAGTCATCATCCTGAGGAATTCATATTTTAAGTGGAGAAAATGGAAAAAAAAAACCCACTCGGATGTGCCATATGTGTGTCATCGCTCAGCCCTTGGAAGCTCGGGCCGGGGATCCCTTACGCCGCCGCTGTAGACGCTCGCGCCCCTTGTGTACAATGGCTCGGGATCTGCACACATGGCCTCCCCGCAGTGTAGACGGTGTCTTACGCTAATGCTCCTGCGCCTGAGTAAGAAAGTGTTTTATGCCGGGTTATCCAGAGTTGGTATGTCTTCTTGCCAGCTTTGGCGTTTCCTGTGTATCTAGGAAACTGTTCATTTCCTGTTTTCCATCCTACAAGAGTAAAGACTTTGGAAGTGGGTGTTGATGATCTTCTGAATTTCTCCAGGGTCTGTAGCGATTTCACCCTTTTCTTTTTTCTTTTTTCTTTTTTTTTTTTTTTTTTTTTTGTGGAACCGAGGATCAGACTGAGACCCTTGCGCTTGCCAAGAATGCGCTTATTCCACTGAGCCATCCCCTGGCCCCTCAGCCTTTTCATTCTTTATTGCATGAATTTTCTTTTATTTAGCAAGCCTTCTACGTCTGTCCAGGAGGCTCGCGTCTTCTCGCAGCACCCTGAAGCCCGGCCGCTAACGTCCTGCTCTCTGTGCACATTCCAGCTTGCGTTGTGCACTAGGCTTAAAAAAGTTGGCTTTGTTCTCTGAAATCAAACTCTTAGACTGTATTTTTAAAGGAATTTGACAGATAAATTTGGGGGTAATCCATGGTATAATATTACCTACATGTGGTATAATAATTTTAATATTGATTATCAACAATAGAATTAGTTTAGATTTACCTTTTTATGTATTTGCTACAACCGCTCACTACGCAGCTGGGACTCCTAGTGATCCTCCTGTTTTCAGCCTCTCAGATGCGGGGTCTCCGGGGCAGGATCAGGTGCCGGGGCGGGGCCAGTGCAGCCTGTGGTGCCGTGAACGCAACCGCGGTCCCTGCGCTTGCCTTGGCAGGTGCTTAATCTGCTGAGCTACCTTGCCGGCCCTAGGTTTACCTTGATATAACAATATATTATATAAGCTGCCCATGTACTCATCGGAGTAGATCAGTTAGGCAGATGTGAGAACAGTTCTTATTTATAAATTATGAGGTTCCCCAGCGGTTGTATGTTAGTCGCTCTCTATTTGTACACTTGAAGAAGTCAGCTTTGAAATGAAAGTAAATATACAAATCCATGTGTAAATTAAATAAGGTGTGTATCCAAATGAGATCAGCACACCTGATTCCCAATAAGTACTAATTTACCTTACTAAATGAACTCAAGGTGATGTAAGAACGAGAATATGAGAATAAGTTAATGAAACAAGAGTTAATTGAAGTATTGGGAAAATAATTAAACAAGAGTGCCAGGTGTCTTCAAGCAACTGAAAAGGAAGGTTTGGCCTACTGCTGTATTTCAAATGGATGGAGGAAGCAGGCTGTGTTTGAAAACAGCTTATCTCGCTAATTAATGAATAAAACGTGTAGCATGAGCACAAAACCAAGACCCAAGTATCAGTTATATATTACAAATTGAACACCTGTTTAAATATCCAGCCAGGATAAGGAATAGGACACGGAGCATTCACCTCCTGCGGACCTTTCCTTTCCAACAAGTGAGGCTACACTTCATCTCAAAAGTAATCCCTTTACCCAGTTTTGACCTTAAATGAGTGTAATCCTTCATATATAGTGTTATCATCTGCCCCTCTCATTCTGCATGGCTGCTGGGCGTCACCCGCGTGTGGAATCACATGCTGTGCACCGCCTGCCGAGTGCCTTTGCCCTGCACCGCAGATGGGAATGACCCACCACCCTCTTCAGCTTGAGGCTGCTGTGAACCCTGAGTGTGGACTTCCTCCTATGTCATCCTTGGTGCCTGCGGATGTAGGGAGGCAGCGTGGGCTGCCTACCATGATTGCCAAGCTGGGCGTTTCTATGAGTTGTGAATGGGAGCCATTTGCAGGTGCACACGTTCATTGCAGATGACCTCTCAGGGCTTGGCGTGGCTTTTCACTCTCCATCTTTTTATTAACTGTAAATTGTAGTTCATACTTAATCTATGATGAGTTTTTTGGGGGTGCTGTTTAAAAAGTATTCTGCAATTACTCTAGTTTCTACAAACAGCTTTTGTTGTTGTTTTGCTTTGTTTTGTTTTGAGTGTTGTTTGCTTGTGTGGGGTATCAGGGATTGAACTCAGGACCTTGTGCATGCCAGGCAGGTGCTTATGCTGCTGAGCTATCGGCCAGGTCCTTCTACAATTATTCTGACACACTCTAACACACGGTCTAGAAATGTTATTGTTTTTCACATATAAGATGTGTACACATGGGGCTGCACTTAGTTCAATATAGAAAGGTGCCAAGTACCTTTCTACATGAACAGCTGAGCCGTAGAGCACCAGGTACGGTGAGCATCGTGAAAAGACCAGCTTTTCTCCCACCGAGAGGTGGGCAACCATCTTCATGACCCAGCTGCTTGCACATGCATGGAGTTTAATTCAATATAAATTTTAAACCCTACGTCATTTTACACACCCAGTGTTCTTCACTGGTCCACAAAGAACATGAACCCCAAACCAGCAGCGTCGATATCCCCTGATGATGAGTAAAACCTGAAGACCCCACACATGACCTACAATCAGAACTCGTTGCCAACATGGCGGAGGTGCAGTTCTCTGCCCAGCCTTTCGGGGATGCTGCACCAAGTGGAGTCTGAGGTCACTGCCCTGCACTGACTTCATGGAGACTTACCGCGCTCCTCACCCTTACCTCCCGGTCTCGGTGCAGGCTTGTGTTTGCGTGGCTGTGCAATGAGTGGGGCTTTAAACTAAGTGTTGTGGTGAGTCATTATTTTTAAAAATGTAAAAAAATTATAAATATTTTCATTCTTTATATTCTACAGATTTTTTGTGTTTTACATTTTTGGGCTTTGGTGGTGGGGCTTTTTTGTTTGTTGGGTGTTTTTGTTTTGTTTCTCTTTGCTTTTTAGTGAGACACCTGAGCCCACGTCTAACCTGGTCAGGGTCTTCCGTGTCACTGTTTCCAGCCTCACACCTTCACCCTGGAAGGGCCTCAGGAAGTAGCGCGTGAGAACCGGTCACCTTTTATGCCAACCAAGCCTTTCCCTAAACTCTGCTGACGTCCGCCTGAAGCTGTGCGTGCAT